AGAGGGTGTTGCGCTACTTGTGCAGTACGTCGGGCATGGGGCTTGTGCTTGGAGGGCAGAGTCCAGTGGTCCTCACTGGTCACGCAGACGCTTCTTGGGCTGACGACCAGGCTACGCAGCGGTCGTCACAGGGTTACACCTTCAGCCTTGGTTCCGGCTCTGTTTCTTGGCGGTCTACCCGCTCGTCTTCTGTTCTCGGCTCCAGTTGTGAGGCTGAGATCTACGCAGGGGCCATGGCTGCACAGGAGCTACGCTGGCTCACCTACCTGCTGACTGACCTGGGAGAGCCGCCTCGTTCTCCTCCAGTGCTGTACGTAGACAACAAGGCCATGCTGGCCTTGTGTCGAGAGCACAGACTGGAGCACAGAACGAAGCACATCGCTCTTCGCTACTTCCTTGCTCGTGAGCTGCAGCAGCGTGGTCAGCTGCGCCTTGCTTACGTGGCCTCTGAGGCCAACACTGCTGATATCTTCACTAAGGCACTCGCGCCTTGTGATCATCAGCGCTTCTGTACTCTGTTAGGTCTTGTGCCTACCTTGCCTCACTTGCTTACTTCTTGACCTTGCTTGTACTGTTACATATATATACCTGCTCTTGCTTGTTTAGCGTTATATATATGTAATCTTGCATGTGAACTGGCCTTGTGGCCTTGAACTTGTGCTCAGACTGTGTGGTGACGTTGTGATCCACCCTGAGCTTGCTTTGCCTTGCTTTGCTTGACTGGTCTTGTGACCCCTTGTTCTCCCCCACTTTGCCTATGGGGGTGTGTCAAACTCATACACTATAGTCTGTGTAGGCTGTAGTGGGGTAGCTTATATGGGGTACAACATTTTAGGGTTTGGTACTTGTACTCCTCATGCTGCTCAATGCACCCATTCCTCATTCTTCACAGCTGGTACCCCCGAACAGCTTCCGAATTCTACGGCTACACTTTTAACGACGTGTGCCTTTGTGCGCTTAATCAAGCACCGCTGCAACTCCGTCGTTGGCACGGATACTCTCAGCGACCCCTCTGACTCCGTTAAGACTCACTCTCGGAACTGTCGTTGCACCCGCAAATGTCGGAAATAAACCACACCATGTAAATCCCGGTCGCCTGCAGGCTGTCCTCCGAAAGAACCGGTGTTTCTAGCACGCCCACCCGGTCACCATTTTTTTCATGCGGCTAGCCACCCAAGCGACCCACCAAAAGGACGTGCTGTTTTGGCATGGAACCCAGTACTTATGGGTCTTCCGAGACCGATTTTCACGGACCCTAGCGCGCATCAACGCCGCAAAACTCGCCGTAGAACTCCCCCAGGTAAACCTCCTGAAATACCCTGTAAATTGTTTAAACAACTGGCGAGCATATGTTGACCCGTCTCCCACCGTCGAAAATCACCCAAAAAATTTGGTTGCGGCAACAAACCCCGAAGTATTTTCTGCTGCGTAGCCCCGACATTTCCCCCGTTGACCCTGGTACTCCGACGTTCACCCATCTTCGTACCCGTCAGAAATACTTAGCAAATCCCAGGTATCCTTGGCACTACACCCCTCGTTGTGCCTCCATGTGTGAGATGTCCGACCCTTTCGTGCCCACTGAGTAGACCCGAAATTCACGGTGGAGTGGTGTGTGGGCTCAACGTATCACTCAAGAAGCTTGGAGAGGCACCCAAAACTTTCCCTCCATTTTTTTTTTTTACCCCCCCGACAATTTCACTTGTCACCGTTCACCCAGCGTCCACTTTTGTCGGATGAGGTATTTGCCGTGTTTCCCGCGATTTTTCTGGCATTCGATGAAGGCGCGAACGCAATCGTAGTCGGGGTGAGTTTATCGTATCAAACTCCCGCCCGGCCGCTTCGCTGCCTACCGTGCCTATCGCTTTTAAAACCCGGCAGCTTCAGGAACTCCATCTTCGCCGCTACACCGCCGTCGGGTAGACCGTTGAATTAGGAGAAACACTGCCAGCTGCCACAATTTCTCCAGTCCCGACTTTTTCGGCAGGGTAACTGTTGTCGATGGTCCGTTTTTGTCGGGCCAAAACAGTGTCGCACCACTTCGAAATTTTCTTTAACGCCCTGCTGTCGAACCAGCGCCACCCACGCCTTTCTAACCAGCACAGGGCTAAACACAGGGCCCCACCTTTTTATCTAGTGGCCAACAGGACTTACGCATTGCCTTCGAGGCCTTCTGGTGTGAGGTACGTAGAACGTCGGTAGACTTTGGCCGGTAGGGAGCTCCTTCTGCTACCGCCGCTTAGCCGCGAAACCCGGCCTCAGCAAAAAGTCGTCGCGGTAGGTCGTTTTCTCCCCTCCTGAAGCTCGGAATCCGTTTCTCTCGCCAGACCCGTATTTGTCGCAACTCCGTTTATTGTAGCCGGTAGACCAGGCGAAATTCGCGGGTCTAGACGCTGCGCCAAACCGTTGTCCCGTCGGTGGACTGCCCTGTCTGCGGCGCAACTTCCCTTGATCAGGGGGAACCTGTGTCGCCTAAAGTACAGTGTTGGCTGCTGCTGTTGCTCCGAAAATGTTGCCAATCTTGATGTAGGCACAGAAGTGACCCTAACGCGAACAGTCTAGTCGTAGGCGGCCTTTTCCGATCTTTTCGGCGGTTTGAAAATAACTTCCGTCCCACACTGTGCCGCTCCTGCCGAAAAACGCCCACGACGCACCCTCCTGCAGCAACACCCGCCGCACCCGGGCGGGACGACGGTAGACCCCCGCTTTCTTCGGGCAGTCGTCACGCCGCCTCTCCTCGCCGCCGGTTTTTCTGACGCAATTCCTCTTGCGCCTGGCTGCCCGCACAGCAGTCGTTTTCCACGTACTGCTATTCCGAAATCTTCGCGCACAGTGACCACGATCGCCACGTGCCGAAGACCTCCGAAAATGTCGTTCGCAGTTGTCGACCACGTGCCGACGCAACTCGCACCACGTCTTGCTTCCGACAACTTCGGACGTGCAGTGACGGCAATCCTGCCGACGTCATCTGCCACAGAGCATTAACTCTGAAGCCGACGAAAACACAAGCAGTTAACTCACGCATTAAATGCGAAGACAGCAAAAGCTGTCCGCCACCTGAGGGAAGGGAGGCCACGGTCGATCTTGACCGTCGAGGGCAAGGATCCGTCGGTGCAGCAGGAGCGCTAGTGAAATTCATGGCCGCTAGGAGCAACTACCCGTTCTCATGGCTGGCTACTGTGCTGCTCCTGTCACCACGACATCCTTCCCTGTCCCCCCCCCCTCCAAGGGGTAATACACTAAGAAAAACGGGGAAGCTAGGAAAGTAGCTCTGATACCAAGTGTTATGAGTTGTACTAAACAGAGTGCGCGGAAGACTTCTATAAAGAGAATGTGATTACGGAATGAGAAAACAATGAAGAGTGTGAGCAAATATAGGGCGAGTACGTGCTAGGCGAGAATCGCGTGACGTGCGTGGCTCGGAAATGTCGCGATTGGTGATGGGCGACTCGGCATTGGTTCGGTAAGAAAGTGTAGGCCGAGCCACACTGACGCGAAGTGCTCGGGGCTGTCCTCGCTAGGAGCAGCCTCTACAGTAATGAATGTATATTCATTACATAGTGCAATCCTCGTTGTCTCGCCCGTAACAGCACTGTTCCCTAATCCCAAACCTGACTATTTGGTATGTAGCTTCACCGCCGAACCTGAGGACGCGTCACAAGTAGAATACCGAGGAAGGATCGTGGTGTTCACCGAACCTGCCAAACCGATCGCCATATCGGTGTGTCACGACTGCTTTGAAGTTTCAAGTGACACGATCGTAAAAACATGGGGCAAAATTGCCCGATGTGGACGAAATTGCACGATCGATGTGTGACAAGGGCACATCGATCGCCTGACTTCGAAGGGACAACTGTATGTTAGCGAAAATAAACGAAACCATTTAACCACCTAAACACCGATTCTAGGCAGGATCGATGTTCTACTTGTGACGCGTCCTGAGCCCATCCCAGAGCCTAGATGCTCATGCGCTTGCCGAAAGGGCCTACCCAACCATTAGACGTTGCGAAATGACGAAGCTGTTCTATTGCGCAGGCGACGCTGACGACGATCGCAAAGCAGCCTTGCTCCCTCCCAGTCAACCCCTGTGTAACCGTTTTGGAATCGAGTGCCGTGACTCGTGAAGCATTGAACAAACACAAATCACCGAGGCTGCATCCCGCGTCGACCACCTACACCAGCAACACACATCACGTGAGAAAGAGCGAGTGCTGTAATAGATCCGTGTGCAATGCTGCACCTAATATCGAGGACAATAACCGAGCCCTTACTCGCTCGTGTATGCATTTTCCCGTGGTCCCAACTGCCGTCGAAAACACGTGTAACGCCTGAATGTTCCCCGTTTTGGTCTCGTTATACCATCCGTGTATGTAGATTCAAGAACGAACGGGAATGACGACGCCTCACATGATGGTGACGCTTTTTCCCGCGCCGCCAGGCAACCAATCTCATCTGAGAATGTCTTTAGAATGCTCAACATCACCCCGCGAGGCTGCCGTAATGCTGACCTTTTTTTTGCGGCCCCGCCAGGCAATAAAAGACCCGGGCCGCGACTAGCCTCGCCGATGCCTGCCCCGTCGCGGCACGGCGAGCCATGGCGGCACGCCCGACGAGGGAAGCGCGCTCCGCCGACAGAAGCAGGACGCAAGAGTCGTGTGTCTCTCCAGAAGGGGTGGGATCCAAGCCAAGCCAAGCCAAGCCAAGCAAGGACCTTCCCTCGGTGCACACCGGACTGCTCCGAGCGGTCTCGGTTGCCTTCTTGCTTCGGCCGCGCTTTCACAGATGGTTCAGCAGCAGCAGCCTCTACCGCCAAGCGGTATCGCGGAGAATCTCGGAAAATTTCGTGTCGAATCTTTTTTTCACCTTGATTGTGCCAATCAGCTTCCAGGCATCTCAGCCCTGTCCTAGTCGTAAGCCTGTCGCTCATCGCGCAGCTCGTCGCCCAGCTCGTCACACAGCTCCGTATGATGACCGTCTCCGCTTCCGCCGAGTGCGGCGATCTGCTACCCGGCCTGCCCCATGACCTCGCGCTCGCCTGCCTCGCGCGCCTGTCCCTCTGGGACCTGCCCGCCGCCCGCTGCGTGTCGCGCGCCTGGGCGGCTGCGATTCGCCGCCGGTCGTTCGGCCGCCTGCGACGCGCCTGCGCGGAGGAAAGGGGGTGGGGGGGTGGGGTACGAGGGGAGAGGCTGCCCCACTGTTGGGGGGATGGGAAGGAGAAGGAGAAGGAGAAGGAGAAGGAGAAGGAGAAGGAGAAGGAGAAGGAGAAGGAGAAGGAGAAGGAGAAGGAGAAGGGGAAGGGGAAGGAGAAGGGGAAGGGGAAGGGGAAGGGGAAGGGGAAGGGGAAGGGGAAGGGGAAGGGAAGGGGAAGGGGAAGGGGAAGGGAAGGGGAAGGGGAAGGGGAAGGGGAAGGGAAGGGGAAGGGGAAGGGAAGGGAAGGGAAGGGGAAGGGGAAGGGGAAGGGGAAGGGGAAGGGGAAGGGGAAGGGGAAGGGGAAGGGGAAGGGGAAGGGGAAGGGGAAGGGGAAGGGGAAGGGGAAGGGGAAGGGGAAGGGGAAGGGGAAGGGGAAGGGGAAGGGGAAGGGGAAGAAGTTGGCGGGAGACGCGAACAGGCTTTCTGCTTTGCCTAATCATCATTCTCTGCCTGGTAGTGGCTTGAGTGACTCGGAGAATCATGTAACGCGGATGCACATGGGATCTCACTTGCCAGCCTTGGTGGGTTCGAAAGGATCAAAGGCGTGTGGGAACGAGGGCCACTGCGACAGCCCGGGTGCACTGCTGGTGGTGTGCGTGGGTGGTAGCGACAGTAGCAGCAGCAGCAACAGCAGCAGCAGCGATGGCGCAGGCAACCAGCGGCTGCAGTGGTTCGCGTGCTGCGTCTGTGAAGCTTGCAAAACTTGTCATCCCTGCGAAACTTGGGTCCCGTGCGACCCGTGCCGAGCCTGCCATCCCTGTGACAGGAACGGGTTGTTGCCGAACCTCTTTGCCTCCTGCACCCCCAGGGCATCCCCCAGGTGGCGCCGCCTGCCCCCGCTTCCCCCCGCCAACCGCCACGCCCACCCAGCCTGCTACGGCGCTGTTGCTGTGGTGATTCTTGGAGTCGGGTTTGCCATCGTGGGTGGCGCCGTGCCTTCCCAGTCAGGCAGGCCGCAGCACGTGCGCCACGTGTCAGTGTTTGACTGGCACATGGGCGCGTGGTTTGCTGTGCAGCAGCCGTGCCTGCTTCCCAGATTGGACCCTGTGGTGGCTGCAATGGGTGGGGTGCGGTGGAATGGGGGGCAGAGGGATTGCCTCGTGGTTGTGGGAGGGTGTCCTGTGCCGTTTTTTCCACAGGGGATCTCTGCAGGTTCATGTGGTAGAGTTGCTGTTCGCCCCTCAGAAACGGGGGTAGTTCAGCAACATCCTGTTTTTTCAGCTCCTGGAGTCTCTCCTAGCATGCCACGTGGCAGTGCTTCTCCCAGCTTGCCACGTGGCAGTGCCTTTCTCAGCTTGCCACGTGGCAGTGCTTCTCCCAGTACTCACTCGCGCCACCCGTTCCTGGGGGTGTGCACGATGTGCATTGCGATGCCTTCAGACGGATTTGGTGCCGACGAGTGTGACAGTGACTAGCGTGCCAATAACAGCAGATCGGAGTCTGTTCACAGCAGCAGCAGCATCGGTGGTGGTGGCAGTGGCAGTGGTGGCATGAGCAGCATGTTGAGTGGCTGCAGTTTGACTGAAGGCGGCAGCAGCAGCGGGGAGCATTACTACCAGTTCCCAAGGCTAGACTCACTTGCACTGGGAGGGCGGGTGTTTGTGCAAAGGCACAGGTCACCCTACTTTGCCATCAACCCGGGGGGCTTCAACCGCCACGCACCCAGACCAGCTCCACCTGCTCACACAGCGCATGGCCCTGGTAACCGGGTTACAGGCACCGGCGGTAATTTTGATGGCAGTGGTGGTGCGCTCAACAGCAGCATGGTGTCAGAGGCAGGTGTGGTGGAGGTAGACTGGGGGAGCGCTGAGATGTGGAGGGTGGTGGAGGAGTGTGACGTCATCCATGCCATCTGGACTCGACCACACGTGGCACAAGTGATTGTTGCGGATGTGACTGGATCAGGTGATGTGACTGTAGCAGATACTGTGACTGTAGCAGGTGTGACTGTGTCGGATGTGACTGCGAAGCCAGCAGCAGAAGACGATTCAAAGAGAGCATACAGCAGCGCAGCGTGCCGGGCGCCACTCCTTGAGACGCATCAGAAACCACCAGGCTCTTATAGCAGCAGAGCAGCAGCGCACGCTTCACCCGCCATCTACTCCGTGCTTTGCTCCCTGGACCCCTCCCTCTCTCTCCTCGTCTTCAACCACCTTCAAAGGACATGGGTTCCTGCTGGCCCTCCCCTTCCCCCTCCCTCGCCGCCTCGTCCTCCTCTTCCTCGGCATTCCCCTTGGCTCTGCTGCTGCTGTGGCAGGGGGTCGCACGGGGTATATTGTTCCACGCCACCCTGCTGCACACGCACTGTGCCGCCGTCCAACTTGCACTCTTCTACACTTGACCCATGCCTTTCAACCTCTGCCACGGGTGCTGCTGCAGCTGCTGCTGCTGCGGCTTCCAGTCTTGTTTCTGGTTCTGATGCTGCTGGTGCTGTTCCTTCCTCTGCCCCTGCTGCGGATGCTGCTGCTGCCAACGCTCCCAGTGATTCCAATGCTGCCAATGATGCCAATTCTGCCAATTCTGCCAATTTTGCCAGTGCTGCCAATTTTGCCAGTGCTGCCAATTTTGCCAGTGCTGCCAATTTTGCCAGTGCTGCCAATTTTGCCAGTGCTGCCAATTTTGCCAGTGCTGCCAATTCTGCCAGTGCTGCCAATTCTGCCAGTGCTGCCAATTCTGCCAGTGCTGCCAATTCTGCCAATGCTACCAATGCTGCCAATGATGCCAATTCTGCCAATGCTGCCAATCCCGGGAGGTTGCAGCACCTTGTGGGGTGTGGCGGCCGGCTCGTGGCTCTCTTTCAGCCACACGACCCGCGCCACCCAGGAGTGATGCGAGAAATCCTCCTCCCAGACCTCCACACTCTCTCCTCTCTCTCCGCCCTGCTCCCTCACACCTCCTCGTCCTCATTCCCCTCCCTGCTTCCCTCTCAGCCTTCTCTCTCTGCTCCCCCACAGCCACCCACGGCTGCCACTGTCGAATCCGCAGCAGCACAGTCACAAGCTTCAAGGAGTGTACCTGTAGCAGCAGCGCGAGAATCAATGCAGCTGATGAGTAGTGGTCACATGGAGGGGCCAAGTGGCTGGGCAATGGGTGCTCCAGTGGCCTTGCCTGGCAACGGGAGGTTGCACCATGTGCTCTCCATGCACCTTGCTGCTTAGGAACACTTGGTATGATCTGGCTGTACATGGAGCGATGAATTGAGTTGGCACTCATATTCTAAGGGGTTGGCGTAGTAGTGAGTGTCTGGCTCCCTTTTTCCTAAGCTCTGCTGTAAAACACTCTGTTTGGGAGTGTATCGTGATTCCAGTGCATTACCGGCATTGCCCAGGCAAAGAGTTACTAAAACGTGTTTGGCTGGTACCATATGGCAGCTGGGAGATCATCCCTACACACAGGAAGCTACACCGTATGATTTCCTAGCAGCTCTTGGCATCAGGAATTTCAACTTGAATAGCTCCTATTCAATTTGAATCAGCTCCTACTACCGTACCTAATCCATTTCACATCCTTGCATGTGCAACAATCAATGGCATGGCACGTTCCTTCCTCCTACAAATGAATCCTTGCAGCTGCAGTGAGCAGTGAGCAGCGAGCAGCGAGCAGTGAGCAGCGAGCAGTGAGCGGCGAGCAGCGAGCAGCGAGCGGCGAGCAGCGAGCAGCGAGCAGCGAGCGGCGAGCAGCGAGCAGCGAGCAGCGAGCGGCGAGCGGCGAGCAGCGAGCAGCGAGCAGCGAGCAGCGAGCGGCGAGCAGCGAGCAGCGAGCAGCGAGCAGCGAGCGGCGAGCGGCGAGCAGCGAGCGGCGAGCGGCGAGCAGCGAGCAGCGAGCGGCGAGCAGCGAGCAGCGAGCAGCGAGCGGCGAGCGGCGAGCAGCGAGCGGCGAGCGGCGAGCAGCGAGCAGCGAGCGGCGAGCAGCGAGCGGCGAGCAGCGAGCGGCGAGCGGCGAGCAGCGAGCAGCGAGCGGCGAGCAGCGAGCGGCGAGCGGCGAGCGGCGAGCAGCGAGCGGCGAGCAGCGAGCAGCGAGCGGCGAGCAGCGAGCGGCGAGCGGCGAGCAGCGAGCAGCGAGCGGCGAGCAGCGAGCGGCGAGCAGCGAGCGGCGAGCAGCGAGCGGCGAGCAGCGAGCACATCACATGATGCATCATGCTCGCCTGAGAGCAGCAGCCTTCATGGCTTCCACGAGCTCCAGCATCTGACAGCCATGGCATACAGGCGCACGGGGGGAAGCACGATGGTCGGATAAGGAAGGGGGACGAGGAGAGGGGAGATGGGGAGGGGAAGGGGGCACATCATGCGCGTCTGAGAGCAGCAGCCCTCATGGCTTCCACCAGCTCCGGCATCTGATAATGCGATGATGAGGGAGAAAGAGGCAGGGAGAAAGAGGGGGGGGAGGAGGGAGGGGGGGAAGGAAGGAGGAGGCACCTCAAAAGTCATGGCTTCCACCAGCTGCAGCATCTGACAGCCATGGCATGGAGTAGAGGCGCATGCGAACATGGCGTGCATAAACGACCTTCATAACGACCATAAACGACCATAAACGACCTTCATAACGTTAGCATCTTGTCAGAGTTGTCAGAAGTGGGGGAGGGGGCACGGGAGGAGGATTCTGTTAATGAAGTGGGGGAGGGGGCAGGGGAGGAGGATGAGGCTAATGAAGTGGGGGAGGTGGCAGGGGAGGAAGATGTGTGTGCCCTCATTAGCCTCATCCTCCTCCCCTGCCACCTCCCCCACTTCATTAGCCTCATCTTCCTCCCTTGCCACCTCTCCCACTTCATTAGCTTATCCTCCTCCCCTGCCCCCGCCCCCACTTCATTAACAGAATCCTCCCCCCGTGCCCCCTCCCCCACTTCTGACAACTCTGACAAGATGCTAACGTTATGAAGGTCGTTTATGGACTCCTGTGCATGTGTGTGCCCTCCTGTGCATGTGTGTGCCCTCCTGTGCATGTGTGTGCCCTCCTGTGCATGTGTGTGCCCTCCTGTGCATGTATGTGCCCTCCTGTGCATGTGTGCGCCCATCCCCCCCCCACTCACCCCGGGCAGCCCCCACCGGGGTGCCCCGGGTCACCCCACCCATTCCCCCACTCCTTCTTGCTTCGCCAGGCTCCAAGGCAGTATGGGGGCACGGCGTGTGCCAGTCACACAGCAGCCTCCTCGAACACCTCGCTCAGCTCGTTCATCACTGGATCTCCTAGCGCGTGTGTGTGAGTGTGTGTGTGTGTGTGTGTGTGTGAGTGTGTGTGTGTGTGTGTGTGTGTGTGTGTGAGTGAGTGTGTCGTGTATGCATGGTGCATGCACCCCCTTCCCCCACTCACCTCGCTCATCTCGTTGATCACCAGATCTCCTAGCGTGTGCGTGTGAGTGAGTGTGTGGTGCATGCGTGGTGCATGCACCCCCTTCCCCCACTCACCCCTGGCAGCCCTCTGAGCATGGGGGCGTGGTGAGCCAGTCTAACAGCAGCCTCCTCTATCAGTTCACTCAGCACGTCCACCTTGTTCCCCAGTAGCTGCACCTCACTCTCCGCCCGCTACACTTGTGCATGAGTGTGTGTGAGTATGCATGTGCGTACGAGCGAGTGGGTGTGCATGTGCATCTGCCCATGCGTGGTGCATGCATCCCCATCCCCCCCACTCACCCCAGGCAAGCCGCGCAGCATGGGTGCGTGGTGCGCCAGCCTGACAGCAGCCTCCTCCACCAGTTCACTCAGCACGTCCACCTCGTCGCCCAGCAGCTGCACCTCCCTCTCTGCGCGTCCCAGGTTCGCCATCGCCACGCCCACCGCCTCCTGCTGCTGCCGCCACTTCTCCTCCGCTGCTTGCAACAGGCTGGAGAGGGTAAGAAGAAAGGAGGAGGGGGGGGGGGGAGAGGGAGGGGGAGGGGGAGGGGGAGGGGGAGAGAGGGGGGGAGGGTACTTTTGAGGCACCTCTAACAGTTCTTTCCGCGTGCCTTTGGTCCCACCGCCTCCTGCTGCTGCCACCACCACTCCTACGCTTCATGCAGCAGGCTTGGATAAGGGGAGGAGAGAGGAGAGAGGAGTGACGAGAGAGGAGAGAGGAGAGAGGAGAGAGGAGAGAGGAGAGAGGAGAGAGGAGAGAGGAGAGAGGAGAGAGGAGAGAGGAGAGAGGAGAGAGGAGAGAGGAGAGAGGAGAGAGGAGAGAGGAGAGAGGAGAGAGGAGAGAGGAGGGAGGAGGGAGGAGGAGGAGGAGGGAGGAGGGAGGAGGGAGGAGGGAGGAGGGAGGAGGGAGGAGGGAGGAGGGAGGAGGGAGGAGGGAGGAGGGAGGAGGGAGGAGGGAGGAGGGAGGAGGGAGGAGGGAGGAGGGAGGAGGGAGGAGGGAGGAGGGAGGAGGGAGGAGGGAGGAGGGAGGAGGGAGGAGGGAGGAGGGAGGAGAGAGGAGAGAGGAGAGAGGAGAGAGGAGAGAGGAGAGAGGAGAGAGGAGAGAGGAGAGAGGAGAGAGGAGAGAGGAGAGAGGAGAGAGGAGAGAGGAGAGAGGGGGGCAAAGAAGGACTTCACTGGAATCACTGAGATTGCGAACAGCATGTAAAAGTCGAGACTGCAGACTGATTGGAAAAGAAGAGTGCAGACTGACCGGAAGGGAGTGTCGCCTGGAGAGGCCACGCTAGAGGCAGGCGACCACGGCTGTAGCTGCCCGTGCCTGCCTGCCCCTGCTGGCGTGGCAGCTGTAGCAGGCGTGACTGCAGACGGTGTGAAGTATGCAGGTGTCTTGGCAACCCCGGTTGTATATGCTGGCGTTCCTCTACCTGCCCCTCCAGGTGTTTCGTCAGGTGACCCCTGATGCAGCACCAGAGCGCCACTGGATGCTGCCAACTGCCTACTCCCCTCCCTCTGCCCCTCCGCTCCCCCTGCCCGGTCCAGCGCCCGCAGCAGGTTCTTCTGCACGCTGCCTGCGTCCCCCACCCCGTGCCCTCGCCCGCCTACCCCCTGTGCCGTGAAGAACGCTGCAGCAGGGGAAGGCGCAGCGGAAGCAGCACCACCACCCGCAGCAGCAGCATTGGCAGCACCAGGAGTGGCAGCGGCAGTGGCAGCAGCAGAGGGGGCAGAGAGGGGCGGCGAGGAGGGCCAGGCGAGCTGCAGCTTGAGGCGGCTCTCAATCTCCTTCAACTTCTCCTCCGCTGCCCCCCTCCTCCTCCTCTCCCTCCCTCTCCCTCTCTGCCCCATCCCTCTCCCCCATCACCCGCTCCACCTCCCTCCCCACCCGCGCCACCTCCCCTTCCATGCGACCCACCTCCTGCCGCCACCGCTCCCTCTCCTCTCCAGCCTGCCTCTCCCGTTCCGCCAGGGCAGCAGCGGCACGAGCAGCAGCACTGGCAGCCGCCGTTCTGGTGTCCTCTAGCGTCTGCAGCACGGCTCTCACCCTCTCGTCTCCATGCTGCTGCTCCCTCACCACCGCCTGCTGCCCTGCCTGCACCTGCTGATGCAACCGGCGTGCCTCCCCTTGCCACTCCTCCACCTGCCCCTGTAACCCCTTAACCTGCCCCTGCAGTCCGTTCACCTGCCCTTGCAACTCCTCAACCTGCCCGTGTAACTCCTCGATATGCCCATGCATTCCCCCCACCTGCCCCTGCAGCCCGTTCACCTGCACGCGAAGCACCTTCTCCTTCTCTCGCAGCACACCCACCGCTCCCTGCAACTGCCGCACCTCCTCACTCTTCACCCTCACCTCCACGCCCTTCACGCCCACTTGCTCCTCCAACTCCCCCACCCTCCTCCGCGCCTCCTCCACCTCCCCCTGCAGCCTCTCCCGTGCCTCCACCAGCTCCTCCCTTTCCCTCGCTGCTGCCTCAGCCACGCGCCGTCGCTCCTCCAGCATCTCACTCCACTCCTCCTCCTCCCTCCGCCGCCTCTCTCGCACCAACTCTCTGCTCACTGCCTCGCCCCACCCCTCGCCCTGCAGCAGCGCTTCACTCGCCACCACCAGTTGCAGCTCACAGCACCCCAGCGCTCTCGTCACTGCAACAACCTCCTCCTGCTCCGTCGTCACAGCCGCTGGTGCCGCTTTCCTTGCGTTGCCGCTTCCTTGCGCGGCCCCATTCTCCTCTTCCACCTGCTGCATTGCCTGCACCACAATGAATGACTCCAAGTCCCGCGCCCTCGCCTCCTGCTCCCACCCCGCCGTCCCCTCCCGCTTCCCCTCCCCCCATCCACCACCACCCGCCCTCGTTTCATGCTCACCCCCCTCCCGTCTCCTCCCACACTCCCCTCATCTCCGCTGCCCCCCTCGCCCCTCCCATCAACCTCCCCTCTCCCCAATATCCTCTCTCCCGTCCCCTCATAATCTCTTCGCCCCAGCCTTTCCTCTGCTGCTTCCAGTGCCAACTGCATCACCAGCAGCTGCACCTGTACACTCAACACAACCTCCTCCCTCCCCTCACCTCTACCTTCCCTCGTCACTCCCCTCGTCCCACACTCACCGCTTGTACTCCCTCCCTCTCCTCCTCCCCTTCTCCTTCCCCTACCCGTTGCCGGGCCTCTCGCCGAGCCTCTTCCAGGGCCTTCCGAGCCTCGGCCAGATCAGCCAAGTACCGCCGAAGCTGGGAGGCCTGCTCCAGCCTGGCTGCTCTCTCCTCCCCCAAGCCTCCTCCATGCCTCTCACAGCTTCCTCCAACACTGCCACGTGTACACCCTCCCACACCACACTCCCCACTGCCGCCCCTGCCACGTCACCAGCCCTGCCCAGCTGGCATGCCGCCTCGCAAGCCAGCTCGCGCCGGCGCTTCCTCAGCTGGCTGACAGCTGTCGACACGGAGCGCAGCTGCTGAGTCAGCGTTTCTCTGAGTTGACTCAGCCGGTGCTGCTGGCTTTCTGCTGTCAGAGCGGCTGCATCCCACTCCTGCCTCTCCCTCTCCACCCTCTCTTCACTCCTCTCTATCCCTTCCAACCGCTCTGCCAAATCTACTCCTTCCTGGCCCCTGTCCCCACCTGCTTTTCCTGCCATGCCAGCATCACTCACCCGTTTCAAGGCCTGGGAGCACCTCAACAGCTGCTGCGCCACCATGCCTGCATCCCCTCCCTTGTCCGCACCAACACTCGCACTGCCACCTGTACCTGCATTCACGTCCCCACCTTGCTCCCTGCTCTCTTTGCTCTCCCCCGCACACCACAGCGCATCCCCCACTTGTCGCCACCACGCCCTATCCCTCTCCACCGCATCCAGCTCCTCCCCCAACGCCTTACAAACTCGCTCCATCTCCCCTGCTGCTCGCTCCACCACCTCCTGCCATTCTCCGCCCCCACACCCCGCTCCTCACCCCTTCCCCCCATCTTCCCCCTCCCTTCCCCCCAAACTCCCCTGCTCGCGCCTTCCCTCCCCACCCTCCGCCTTCTCCTTCCCCAGAGCGTCCAATTGCTGTTGCTGCGCCTCTACCTCCTTCTCCAGACTCGTTACAATCACATTCAGCTTGCTCACCTCCTCCCTCCCCCGCTCCACCTCCTCTTGTAACTCTCCCTCCCTCTCCCTCGCTCTCTCCAGCTGCTCCTCCAGCCGCCCTTTCTCCCTCTCATGCCCGCTCTTCCTCTCCTCCTCCTCCTCCTCCCACCCAACCAACACCTGCTGCCAGTCCCGCCTTACCCCCTCCATCTCCTCCTCCTTCTCCCTCACCACCTCTCTCAACTCCTCCACCTCCTCTCTCAACCCCCTCATCTGCTGCTCACTCTCAGCAGCAAACGCACACAGCCTCTCCTCCTTCTCCACCACAGCGCGCAGCAAGCTCTTCACCTTCTCCCTCTCCTCCCTCACCTCCCTCTCCAACCCCTCCACCTTCTCCCTCTCCTCATCCGCCTTCTCCCTCTCCTCATCAGCAGCAGCCTCCCACTCCTCAGCAGCCCGCTTCGATTCCCGCCAGTACTGCTGGAACTCCACCATCCGCTCTCTGTACACCTCCTTCTCATCCTCTGCTTCCGCCACCTTCCCCCGCCACTCCGCCTCCACCTCACCCAACCTCCGCCTGCACTCATCCGCCTCCTCCCTAGCAGCATCTAAGCGCCTCTTCCACTCATCAGCCTCCTCTCTAGCGGCGTCCAGCTCATGGTAGCTGCGGGCGATGTGAGAGACGGCGGCCTGGCTGACCTTGAGGCGGCCCTGCAGCTGTGCAATGCGCGGGTTGTTGGTCATCAGGTCCAGGTTCAGCATCTTCACCCGCTCACTCGCTGCCTCCGCCTCCCCTTCCCCGGACTCACCCGGCCTGTATTCACCTGCCCCAGAATTACCTGCCCCAGATTCACCTCCCCCTGCACTGGCAGGGCCCCCATCTGCTGCAGCAGCAGCAGCGGCATCCACCCGTACAGCCACGGACTCAGCAGAAGCAGGAGCAGCAGGAAGACCAGCAGAAGCAGCGGGAAGACCAGCAGAAGCAGCAGGAAGACCAGCAGGAGCAGCGGGAGCGGCAGGCGGAGCAACAGCAGTGTGAAGAGTGCGTTGCTGCTGGTGATTCTGAGACACGTGCACATCAGTCCCCATCCCACGCCCCTCACGCCCCTCACGCCCCTCACGCCCCTCACGGTCCTCCACTTGCGCCTCTAACCTCCTCACAGCAGCCCTCAGCGTCTCTGCCTCCTGCTGCCGCCGCTCTGCCTTGCCGCGCCACGCCTCCACCTGCCCTATCATATCGCTCAGCGCCTCCTCCAACTCCTCCACGCGCCTCTGCGCACACTGCCCACTCTCCCCTGTCATCAAACTTCCTGTCATCTCACTCCCCATTCCTGCTGCCCCTCCTCCTCCTCCTGCTGTTGCCGCTCCCGATGCTGCAGCGGTACTCACGCCAGACGCTCCCGTGCCACCCTTCCTCGCGTCAACACTACACGCCTCATCACCCCCGATCTCCTCCCTCTTTTCTACCCCCCCTCCACTCCTGTTCCCTCGTCCCCCTCCTGTCCCACCCCCTCCCCATGTCCACTTGAACCGCCCCTCCTCACCCGCCCTTCCATGGTCTCTGCGCATCTGCGTCCATCTGGCCGCTTGCCCTTCACAGCAGACCCAGCACCCTCCTCCAGAGTCCCCAGTCCCACAACTGCCCCTGCCCTTGCCACGTCCCGCTCTGCTGGATTGCCCACGCTCCCACTGCTCTCCTCCACCTCCTCCCTCCTGCCCCAATTCACCTCCTCCCCCTCCGCATCCTCACCCCTTTCCGCCCTCCCCTCTCCCTCTCCCCCCTCTCCCCCTCCCTCGCCTGCACTCTCTCGTGCCACCACCTGCGCCATCTCCAGCAGCAACGCCACCCCATCCTCTTCCCCCTCCGCCTCTCCCTCCTCTTGCTCTCCCCCTCTGCCTCCTCCTCACCCCCTTCCCCACCCTCCTCTTCCACCCCTTCTCCTACCTCCCTCTTCCCATCCACTTCCCTCTCAATCTCCCTCCCCTCCCCCTCCCCCTCCTCCTCCTCCCCGTCCCCACTGCCTGCTCTCACCCACGGCGCAATCCTCACACGTGCTCGAATCTCAGGTGACCTTAACGAGGGTGACACGTCACCCTCCTCCGACACAGGCCCCTCACTCTCTTCACTGAATCTCCCCTCGCTACTGTCACTCCCACCATGCCAAAAACCCCCATTCCCACCAAAGAACCTCCCTCCATTAACCCCAATCCCACCAACACCCCGCCTCCTCCCCCTCTGCCAGCTATCCTGGGCATGGGCGCGGCCCCAACAGAAGCAGGTCGCCGCTCCTTACCCACCTCCCTCCCTCCTCCTCCTCCCCCTTCACTGCCCGCCCCGCCCCGCCCCACCACCGCGCCAGTGCTGCCCGGCCGCACCACAAACGCGCGCCCTGCAAACTCCCCTGACTGCTGCTGCTGCCCTGTCCGCCTAGACACCTCCTCGTCTAACAGCATCGACAGCCCTGCTCGTGCCTCTGCTCCTGCCCCTCCCCCTTGCCCCTCCCCCTGCCCCTTCCCCCCACGTGAATCCGCCCACGCCCACCCTCGCCCTGCCCTCCTCTCTCCTGCTCTCCACCTCCTCCCCTTCCTCCTCCTCTTCCTCCTCCCCTCGTCCCCCCTCCCCTCCCACCGACTCCTCTGAACCAGTACCTGCCGTCCCTCCTCTCTCCCTTCCTCCCCTTCCTCCTCTCTCCCCCCATCTCTCCCGCCTTCCCCGCCCCCCTCTCCCCCCTTTCCCCTCCTCTAGCGCGCGCACCCTCTCCCTCAACCCCTCCTCTACCTCCCTCCGCTCTGCCACGTCAGCTTCCAGCTCAGCAATCCGCCTGTCACACGCGCGCTTCACCTCTTCCAACTCACCCTTAACCGCACTGCACCGCTGCTCCCTCCCACTCGAGATACACCGCTCACTAAACAGCTCCTGATGCAAAGCCGCCACTTCACCCTCCAACTCCCCCACCCGCCTCTCCTTCTCCCTCACCTCTCCCTCCAACCGGCCAATCAGAGCATCCCTAGCTGCCAGCCTGGCAGCGCCGTCCGCCACCTCCCTCTCCATCGCTCTCAGCTGCTCCAGCAGCTTCCCCTGCCGCCCCTCCTCCTCCCTCCGCGCGTCCCTCTCTCCCTCCGCCACTTCAACTCTCCTCCGCAACTGCTCCACCTCCTCCTCCAATGTCCTTGCCTGCTCTTCTGCCTCTCTCGCCCTCTTATCCTCTGTTCTCAAACTCTCCTCTACTGCCCTCGCCCTCTCTTCTGCTGCTCTAACCCTCTCCTCCAGCTGTATTCTCTCAGCGTCCCACACCGCTTCCCGGTCAGCCAGTTCGCCCCACAGCTCAGCAGCCTCTGCTGTGCGCTCCTGCTGCTGCTCCGCTGCTCCTGCCTCCGCTGCTTCCGCCCTCACCTCCGCCTCACCCCTCCCTGCCTCCGCTGCTTCCGCACGCGCCTCTGCTGCAGCCGCCCTCTCTTCCGCTCGCCCCACCAGCGCCTCTGCGGCTGCTGCTCTCCTCTCTAGAGCAGCAGCGTTGGCCTCAGCAGCAGCCACACGCGCCTGCCACTCCTCCTCGGCCTGCTGCATCGCCACCCCCATCACTTCCCCACCCATCCTGCCTTCTGCCTCTCTCCGCTCCCCCTCCTCCTCCTCAGCTCGTCTCAGCTCCACCTGCTGCTGCTGCTGCTGCTGCTGCTACCTACCAGCTGCCTCTGCAGCTGCCTCTGCAGGTCCCTCTCCCGGCCATGCCACGTGGCAGCAGCCTGTTGGAGCGCTGTCTGCAGCACCGCCTGCACCAAATCGCCCTTCGCCGCCCACTCCTCCCTCTCCTCAGCTACAGCCGCAGCTAAAGCTGCCGCTACAGCTGTACCGTCCCTCTCTCCCGCCCTCCTAGCCTCTTCCGCCACAGCCCTACCAGCTGCCTCTGCTCTCACCGCCTGCTCTGCAGCAGCTAGTCGACCCAGCAGCTCTCGCCGCTCCCCTGCACACCTCTCCACCCATCCACACCACTCCCCTTCCACCTGCTCCAGAGCCGTATGCAGCACCGCCTGCACAAGATCGCCCGTCGCCGCCCATTCCTCCCTCTCCTCAGCTACAGCCGCCACCACAGCCGCAGCCTCCCTCTCTACTGTCCTCCTGGCCTCTTCGGCTGCAGCCCTACCAGCTGCCTCACCTTGCAACGCCTGCTGGGCCGCAACCAGTCGAACCAGCTGTTCTCGCCGCTCCCCCGAACCGCTCTCCACCCATTTACACCAGTCGCCTTCCACCTGCTCTAGAGCCGTCAGCAGCACCGCCTCCACCAAATCGCCCTTCGCCGCCCATTCCTCCCTCTCCTCTGCTACAGCCGCCGCTGCAGCCGCCGCTACAGCCGGCGCTACAGCCGGCGCAACAGCCCTTGGCGCTACAGCGGCAGCAGCCTGTAGGAGGGCCACGTCCACGACTGCATCCACCAGGTCGTCCCTCATCTTGCACTCGTCGCTACGCTCCGCTACAGCCGCTACAGATGAAGCTCCTCCTGTTGCTGAAGCTGCTTCTACAGTGGAAGGTGCTACGGCCGTTACGGCTGAAGCCGCTACAGCCGCTACAGCCGCCACAGCTTGCTCCAGGGCGACCTCCAACACCTGTCGCTGCAGTGACGCCGCCGCTGCTGCCACCGCCTCGTCTCCCACGCCCACCCCTTCCTCCTCCCGCTCCCTTCTCGTCCGCACCTCCCTCGACTGCTCCCCCAACTTCTCCCCACCCTGCTCTCCCCTCTGCGTCCACGTGGCATGCCAGCTGGCAGCCGCCTGCGCTACAGCCGCCTCTACCACATCCGCCTGTAGCTGCTCTGCCGCCTGTAGCTGCTCTGCCGCCTGTAGCTGCTCTGCCGCCTGTAGCTGCTCTGCCGTCTCGGCAGATGCAGCGGGTGTGACGGCAGCAGATCCAAGCGGAGAGGCGGCGACAGCAGCAGCAGAAGCAGGAGAGGAAGCGCAAACATCTCTTTCGCCTACCCTCTCTAATCTGCTTCCTTCCGCATCCACGCCAGCTGCTGCGCTCGAGTCCTCCAGCCCTGCAATCAACCCCACGTCTGACCCTCCAGGCGTCGCCCCTATCGCTGGTTCAGTCGCCAGAGCCCGCGAATCTTGCGACGCCGGAGTAGCTCCAGGCGGCGCCGGAGATTGCTCTTCCCCACCAGACCCGCGCGCTGCATTATCCGCATCGCCCGCCCTGCTGCGCGCCTCCGCATCGGGGTGCGGGGCGGCGGGCGACGCGTCTGCGTCGGGGGGTGGGGATGCGGGGGACATCCACGCGCCCAGCAACCCGCCGAACGGCGACAGCCACGTGGACGAGGGCGAGGGGGTCAGGGCAGCGCGCGAGGGGGTGTGCGCACCAGGCGAGGGAGTATGCGCAACTGCGGAACCTCTTTCCGCACTCGCGGGCGTCCCCGGTTGCGCGGATCCCGCCGTTGATTGAGCCGGCGACGGCGATGCGACTGAATCTGTCGCATGTGGATCTGTCGCACGTAAATCTGTCGTGCGTAAATTTGTCGCACGTGAATCTATCGCTTGATTATCTTCACCCAAGGCGTCGTCCGCCCCTTTGACATCATCTAACCGCGGCTCTGTCTCCATCGTCGCATCTACACCGTCGATCGCCGCAATCATTTTCGCCACTGCTCTCTCCGCTTCCGCGATTACTTCCGCGCGCTCGCTAGCCGTTGGGATTCCCCATAGCCCTTGTCGCACGGCCGGTGGGTGCTCTCGCAGCTGCTCTAGCGACACCTCGTAAATCAGTTTCTGTAACTCTTTCGCCAACACTTCGTCGCATTCGTCTCGCGACATCCTACGGCCGAGAGGAACCCTCGCTACATGCTTGGAAAAGCGATATTGCGGAGAGTTTAGGAGCGCATCCAGCGGAAGATCGGAAGAACGCTGAAGGTATACTACTTGTGTATGCCGCAGGGTGTGTGTGTTGATTGGATGTGTGATCTGGACCGTCCATGGATGATCACGAAGGTGGCCTGACATGCTACATTCGTTTTACTTCAACTCGTTTTCTGGTACTGTTGAAGCAGGCTGGAGGACTTCAATGACTGTATACACGAGAACATGTACCTCTAGCACTGTAATGTGTACAACCGAGTATGATTAACAGAGCACTATAGCAGCACATATATCCATCCAACTACTAGCCAGCGATGCCGTTCCGGAATTAGAAAACTATTGGGTCCAAAGGGTTGCCCGAGAAAAAACAAACACAAGCTAAGAGTCTCTTGTTTCAAGTACAGGTTGCTTCAGCGCCGTCAATAGTCTTGACAAACCTGCCTTTCACCCGCTGCCTCCCATCCGCGCGCGTCTTGCGAGACTCGTACCGAATTTTCTTGGCAAACCTGGAACAATTGAGAACGGGTGGATGGAGAGACACAGGTGGGTGAGATGCATAGCTAGAGGGTCAAGAGAACACAGATGGCGAAAAGACGTGCGGTGTAAACACGAGCAGCCACGAGAATTTTCGAAAGAGATCTCACGGAAGAGCAGGGAAGGACAGGACAGTGAAGGAAGGGAAAGGAAAGGAATAGCAGGGAAGAGAACGGAACGGAAGGCAAGGGAAGAAAAGGGAAGAAAAGGGAAGGGTAGGGAGGGGCAACTGACGTGCGGTGCTTCTTCTTCTCCATGTATCGCATGACCGCCTCGTCCCTGGCAGCTGCTGCTGACACCGCCACCATGGCTGATAGCACCGTGCCTCCTGTCATAGGGCCGCCCATCACCCCGCCACCCACCCCCTGCATGCTCCTCGCCCGGCACAGCCAGGGGTCCGCAAGAAACCCGTTGACCATGTTGACTGTGTTGACTGTGTTGACTGAGTTCCCATTCACTGAGTTGACTGGGTTGACTGGGTTGGCGGAGTTGAGGGCATGGAGGGCATGGGCCATGCTCATGGGGCCGGCAGGGTGCATCGCACCGCCTCCAAACAGCGCAGCAGCAGCACTGGCACCGGCAGGACCAGCGGCTCCCTCAGCGCCACCGAATGCCTCTGATTTCACCTCCACTGTCGCCACTGCACTACCACCGCCAACACCAGCAGTGGCAGCAGCAGCAGCAGCAGCAGCAGCGGCGGTGGTTGCCGCCACTTGTGCATCCACAAGTGCTGCCATGCCCATAGCCTCACCCTCACTGCCTTCCCCCCCTGCTTGTGCGTCTGGGGTGCCAGTGCCAGTGCCTCTGCTGCTGCGCCCATCGCGCATCATCTGCCCCTCCAGCGCCCGGAACAGTGCCAGCTCCCTCTCCTCCTGCCCTGCCTCCCCTGACGCCCCACCCGCCCCTCCCGCCGCACCTGCCAAGGAGCTTGACGCCGAAGCTGTGGACAAGGTTCGGATAGCAACGTTCGGCCACACCGCTCCGTTCCTCCAATTCGCACGAGCAGTGGCGTCTGCAGCAGCAGCAGTGGCGCCGAGAAGCGTGGCAGGAGTGGTAAGATCACAGGGACCGTTGGGTGCTGTCAGGGCAGAGCCGCCCAATCTGCGCTCCAGCAGAGCACAGGTGGCAGGCAACGCACTGCCATCCATGCCTGCTGCACTGCCGCCCGCCTCCTCCAGCACCCTCGCTAGCAGACGGTTCATGCCGGCCATGGAGGACGGCGGGCGGGCGGCGAGCCAGTCAACAGTGTCCTGATCCAGCGGCTGCATGAGCGTGCCTGCTGCTGCCATGCTCCCCAGCGGCTGGGCACCACAGTTACCAACACCCAACCCAGCATCACCCATGTCAGTAGCACCAATACCAGCATCACCCATGCCACCTGTACCCATAGCCATAGCATCTTCCCCCACCTGCTCCTGCCGATCCTCTTGCTCCTCCTGCTCTCCCCCCTCCTGCTCCCTCACCACCTCTTCGCCCCCATCTCGCCCCAGCTGCCCGCCAAACTCGCTGTTGTTCTCACCAAACGAGAAAATGTCCTCACAAGACGACATGGACATGCCCATGCCCATGTCCATCCCCCCCATCTCCATGCCCATATCCATGCCCATGCCCATCATCCCCAGCCCCATGTCCATCCCCGCGCTTCCTCCCACCCTTGCCTCCTCCTCCTCTGCTCCCTCCTCTCCCCCCATCTCCCTCTCCAGGTTCCTCTCAGCCTCGGCAAAAATCGCATCGCCGATGCGCGAAACGAGCAGCTTCTTATCGGCTTTTCTGTCCGGGGCCCTATCCTCCCCTGCCTTGCCACACCTCTGATTCTCCACAGTTCCCACTGCACCCCCTGTTCCCGCTTTTCCCTCGGTTCCTACTGCCTCACCTGTGTCCACAGAGCAGCCAGCAGCAGAGCGGAGAGAAGCCCTGGCAGAGACAGGGGAGGAGCTGGAGGGACAAGCACTGTCCGCAGGGCACAGAGCAGCACCGCACGCCCTGCCACTGCCGCAACCAGCAGCGCCCAAAGCACCACTAGCACCACTACCAGCTGCAGCAGTGGCAGCGGCCTTGCCACCACTGCCAGCCGCAGCAGCTGCTGCTGCAGCGGCAGCAGAAGAGGCAAAAACGAGGGTCTTGTTGGGCGGAGAGGGGCGCAGCGGTATGCTAACAGACCCTGCAGGCACACTCACACCAGCAGCAACGCTGGCAGCAATGCCGGCAGCAGGAGTGGGTGCAGTGGGAGGTGTGGGAGCAGCGGACGCAGCGGAGGCAGGGACGGAACGGGGCGGGACGGGCAGGCGGGCAGCTCTGAGCGTGGCGGCAATGGCAGCCATGGCTGGGGAGAAGGGGCTGCCGGGCGGGGGGATGGGCAGGAAGACGCTGGGACTCGCAGGGGCGCGGGCAGGGGGTGCGTGCAGCGGAGCTAGTGGGAGACCAGGAGGTGGGGCGGAGAAGGGTAGTAAAGGGGTGGCGGAGAGGGGAATGGAGGAGGGAGCGGAGGGGAGAGGGGGTGGATGGGTGGCATGGGCTGTGCTTGGCGTGGGAGGGGATGGGAAGGCTGAGACACGGCCTACAGTCACACCTTCCGCAGTCACAGTGCTCTGGCCGAGACCCGGGGACGTGAAGGCGTTGATGCTCTTATTCGCCGGGCTGCTGGGTACAGCAGCACCATGGGGGGTTTTGCCACAGCCATCGCCAGTGCCACCGGCTCCTCCGCCCTTATCTTCCACCCTCCTCCTCAGCGTATTCCCATCCTCCATCGTCCAATTCTCCTGCTCCACCTGCTCACCCTGCTCCGCCTCCTCCCCCTGTTCCCCCTGCTCCGCGCCCAGGTCCCTCATTACCACGGGCGACCACGACTCCCGCCCCCTCCCCCCGCTGCCCTGCTCCTCCTGCGAAACCGGCAAAGGCGACGCCTGTGCCAAACCCATTGGCCCAGCCACAGACGCAGACGCAGGCACGGGCATAGGCACAGGCACAGGCAGAGGAAGAGGCAGGGACCAGGGGGAGGTGCGCGCGAGCTTGTGACGCGGGGAGACGAGAGGGGAGGCGGCGGAGGCGATGCTGAGGGCGCGCTTGGCGCTGAGGCGCGGCGACGTGAGGAAGGCGGACGGTGCTGCAGCAAGAGCAGCAGCCACGGCGTTGGGAATCCCCCCTGCAACCAGATTGCCTGCAGGCGCCGCACTGCCTGCAGGTGCAGCAGTGGCTGCAGCTGCTGTTGTTGAAGAGCCGCCCTCAATGAGGGGGCTCTTGAGCGCCTTGGCGTCCTTGGGGCTGAGGCGAACAGGTGGAAGCAGAGGACTCAACGCACACACTCCCTGCACCACCTCCCGCTGCTGCTGCTGCTCCTCCTGCTGCAGATTTTCCTGTCCCAGCCGCTGCTTCTGCTGCGGCTGCTGGTGGTGGTCGGGGTTGGTGGTGTGCTGGTGGAGGTCCAAGTGCATGTGGCGCTGCCACACCATCTCCATCTCCTGCTGCTGCCGCGTGCGCTGCCGATCGTGCTCCACCTTCTGCTGTGACAGCAGCAGCTTCTGCTGCTGCCTGTGCCGCAGCGTCAGCATCTGCTGCTGCTGCTCCTGCAGCAGCGCCAGCCGCTCCTGCTCCTCCACCTGCTGCTCCTCCTGCAGCACCTGCTGCTCCTCCTGCTGCTTCGCTATAGCCTTCTCCGCTAGGAGCCACTTCCCCTCTGATGTCTCCAAAGCGGACAACTGCCGCTCCTGCGCGCGCAGCCACTGGTGCTGCTGCTGCTGCTGCTGCTTCCGCTGCTGCTGCTGCTGCTGCTGCCATTGCTGCTGCTGCTCCTGCTGCTGCTGCCACTGTTGCTGCTGCTGCTGCTGTTGCTGCTGCTGCTGCTGTTGCTGCTGCTGCTGTTGTTGCTGAAACACCTGCGCGGCATGCGCTGCCTGCGCGGCATGCGCTGCCTGCGCGGCCTGCGCTGCCTGCGCGGCCTGCGCGGCGGCGTTCATGGCATGAGCGTGCGCTTGCATCTCCTTCGCCTGCTGCTCTTGCAGCAGTAGCCGCTGTTGCTGCAGCCGCTGCTGTAACTCGTGCTGTAACTGCTGCTGCTGCTGCTGCTGCTATCAGTTCACCAACACCAAACATCAGACCCATCTCCAGATCAACATGCTGTTGGCTCGGCGTCCTCCCCCCTTGCCCCATGCCTGGACCGAAGCTCGAGCCGAGGCTCGGGTGAGTCACGGACCCACCAGGAATGGATTGGAGGAGGCCCAGGTTCGGGTGCGCAGCAGAGAGCTGCCCGCTGGGGAAGAAGAAGCGGTTGCCTTGCGCGAGCTCCGCTTGTCTCTCCATCTCCGCCTTTTGCAGCGCGCCGAATCCCGACTCCTGCCCGCCTGCCTGCGCGCCAGCCTGCATGCCCTGCTGCGTGCCTTGCTGCCCCGCAAAGCCGAAGTCAGCTTGAAAATGCGGAGGCAGCATCTGGTTCAGCTGCGGCTGTGGATGAAACGGACCGCGGTCGGTGGCGGTACGGGGAAGAGCGCCGGGGGGATAGGCCGCCGGAGACATTCGCGGCGGGCAGAGAGGCGCTCTTTGCGCGGAGAAGGACGAAGGCGCGGGCGATGCCATTCCGGGGACGCACGCGGGGGGACGATGCTGCTGGCCGGACGGCTGCTGAAACACGCAGTTACGGCAAACACGGACAGAGGAAGAGAGGTGTAAGTTGCGACTTCATTTGCAGGCGATATCGATTGACGGGTTGTTCATATGAAGACTGGCGCTAAGGCGGCTTCAACGCCGCGAATTCTGCAACAAATTACTGACCGCGGGCAAGCATGAACCAAACCTCACCTTGCCTCCCCTCGGGCTTTCCGCCGGATGCGCGGCGCTCCCTGCGCGCGCAGACTCCGGGAACAACGGCTGCGACGCACCGCCTTGCGCGCCACCTGCTGCGAAATCGTGCGACAGGCTCCGCTGCAGCACTGCGTCCATCATCTCCGCATCTCCCGCCGCATCTCCCGCCGTCGTCACCGCCGTCGACGTCGCAACGGTGCTCGCCGGTTGCAAACCCACCGACGTGCTACTCGACATCGCTCGACCCGCCGGCACCGCCATCCCCGCACCGATCGTTGCTCTCGCCGCTCCGCGGGCTCCAGCGGCTCCGCCTAGCCCCGCCGCCCCCCACTGCTTCCGTGGAGCGGAAGCGCAGACCGTGGCAGTGCTGGGTTCCGGCGCAGCGGGTTTGGAGAGCGACGGGTGCTGCACGGAGCTGGTGAGACTCATTGTCGTTGCCGGCGTTACTAGCGGTCGCGAGCTCTTCACGGAACGAGAGGTTAGCCGTGTCGCGCGGCCAGAATCTGGCGACGGCAGCGTGTCGTCGTGCGACATCCTGGTTGTGTGCGACGCGATGAGAGACGTCGTGGCGCCTGTTGACGTGGAGCACGCGGGTCGAGAGTGCTTCTGATGAACTTGGAGCAGCGGCGGGGGTGGTTTCGCCAACTCGCAACCCCAAAGCTGCGCAAGATCTGCTGCGGACGGGCAGCCCGTGAAATTTTCGAACGCATGGCGTCTGTGCAATTGCGAAGCGGATAGCTTGCCGTGAATTGCGCTATCGCAAGCGATGCAGAGAGAGAGGTTTTCGTCAACGCAGCGAAAAGCTGCCGGTTGGAGGTTACAGCCGTCGCACAGGAGAGTTCGCTGATGTCGCAACGATAGGTTATTAGCGGAGTGCACGACGCGATCGCAGGAAAGGCACAGCCTAGCGGAATCGGCGCGGCAGTATACGGTGGCTCTTCCCTTCTCGCAATACTCGCATGTACTGTCCATCTTAAAAAACGCGAAAACTAACCGTCGAAACTTAGCACAAGAGCGATTTCTACAAGCTACAAAACCTAAGCGACGCGAATAACAGTAAACTAGCTGGTATATCCCAAGCTAACAATCCTCTTGAGAATCGGCTGGGGTCCCGGTAGCGGCTTCAAGCTAGCACAATCTACAAAGCTTGTGGATGAAAAATGAGCACAACTGTTGGAGCTCCCAGAAGCTCATCCATGAAACCCCCTTCCTGATGACAGCCTCGAGACCTGACAGCAGCCTCAACTCACTCAGGGCGTGTGTTTTTCATTTGCTTGAGCCCTCCAGTTCGACGTGTACGCTTTTGAGTTCGCTAGAAATTCCACTTTTCTTGCAAACGAAACGCCTCACGGCGGTGAAGAATTTTGTAACTCCCGTAAGTCGATATTTCATAGCCTAGAGAGTTGATCCTGTAAGCCCTGAGTCCAAATCTGAACAGCCAGCGGAAAGCCATTCCCGCAAAAAGTCAGGTGTTCCGCCACGGAACAAGGGCTGGGGGAAAAGGCAGTGCCTTTCTTCCAGAACAGCCGAAGTGCGGTGAACTGTGCGGAAATTTGCACTATCGCTGTTCTGCTGGGGGAACTTTTGCGCGGGAAGGGAATCCAGCTCCAAGATTGGGGGGAGCTCTCTGAGGCACTCATTCGACGCGTTGCTCCCCGCCAACTCTCACTCGCGGTCTCCGCCCACCCGCACCACGAACTTGCCGCGCTGGCGGAACCAGGAGGTGCTGTCTTCATGGAGCCAACGTGAGACGAGGGGCAGAGATGAAACAAGTTCTTCAGCGTACCTGTGTGCGCAAGAAAGGGATATTGCTGACGTGGTGGTCCTGAAAAAGAGCAGCTGCTGACGAAAAAGTGCCTCTGCACGCGCACTGCTGGATTGCTGTTGCGATGTTGGGACTAGACAATACACCCTTATCCAGATCTGGGCACCTTCTGGCACAACCATGAGGAGCCTTCCACGTGGATGACAATACACACGATGCCCGGTTGAGCCCCCCGACCTTGCCTCTCTCTCTGGGCTTTTAAGTGATTTTGGATTTCGTCTGGATTTCGATAATTCGCACTTAGCAAAAAAGGACTTATAAAAGGGCAGATGGAGAATTGTAACTAAGCGTTGACAATTTGACCCCGGTCTCTTCAGTTTGGGGTGCTTGTAGATGGGGTGCAACTGGCTGGCACAAAATACACGGGTGCAGGGTTTCCATCCTGCGAAAGGCAAATTCGCGTGCACTGGTTGGGCATCGTGTGTATCACCTCCACTGCGCGCACAGGCCAGTGAAATACCTTCCGCCACGAACCCAAGGTGCGCTTTTTCGCTTTTCGACGCTCAGCTTGGCAATGTCCACTGTGGCGTACAGATGTGGGCGCAGCAGAAGCTGCCATCTGGAATGAGCTTGTGGTCTCATCGTAGGTGGCAGATACGCTTTTTCTCACAGCCCTAAGATTGGGTACCGCGTGGACTTGAGCATGCCCCAGCCGCAACTGCCATTCACCATTTGAGGCTAGAATTTTCCACGTTTGACATTTCCGGGACTCGTCAACTGTACACTTGTTCCGCCAACTTCAGTGCTCCCACAGACATCACACAGTGAGTCTCAGCCAAGCTGGATACTTTGTACAGTAAAAGCAGTACAAAGTGCCCATTCAAGATGAGGGGGCAAGTTGCAACTCGCACGCAGCCGCAACCGCAAATGCCAAGGCGGACACACCGGCTGAAGAGATCTCAGCGTGTCTTCCGTATGTTCCACAAGGTAGGTTCAGTACATACAACACAACCAATTGTTTAAGTTTCAAAGACCTGAAACCTGGTCCACCCACATTGGTGTTGTTCATTTAGCTTTACAAATGATTACTTATGCCACGTTGCTTAACACAGACATGTGAATGGGAAGTGCTCTGTTTTTAGCGGCCCAAAAAAATACTCGAAATGTCTCCACGATCTCCCTAGGCACGTTATTACAAAATCAAGTTGGGTGCCTTTTCCCATCCATTGGCCAAGTATAGTGGTTACCACAACTGAACCTTGCGGGGACGGCACCGTGTGCTAGGTCCTGTCAGAATAATGTGCTGTGTAGGCTGTAGTGGGTAGCCAGCACACTGGGGGTGCTGAGCCTGCAGGTGCGGAGCCTGGGGGTGCTGGGCCTGGGGGTGCTGAGCCTGGGGGTGCTGGGTCTGGGGGTGCTGAGCCTGGGGGTGCTGAGCCTGGGTCTTTTGCTGCGCCTGGGGGTGCTGAGCCTGGAGGTTCTGGAGCTGCTGGTGCTGCCACTGGAGCTGGAGTTTCTGGAGCTACTACGGGTACTGGCGCTGCGGGTTCTGAGTCTGCTGCTGCGCGGTCTCCTTGGAGTAGCCGCCTTCGTACGCGTGTGCCTCTCACCTCCCAGCAGCTGCGCGACTGGTACGGTCGCCGTCAGCGTCGCGCTCCTGTGGCTCGAGACTCTGCTCCTGGCGGCACTTCCACTGACGTCGCTGGAGCTGAGGGTGGTGCTGGTTTGCGGTCTCCTGGGGGTGCCCGCGTCGCTAGTCCCGGAGGTGCTCGTACCGCTGGTACTCGAGCTGCTGGGGCTGGTGGTGCTGTGTCTGAGGGTACTCCTCCTGGGGACACTGCGACTGGGGGTTCTGGTTCTGGCGGCGCTGCTGCTGGTGGAGACAGTCCTGGAGGAGTTGCCACTGGGGGTAGTGGCGCTACTGGAGGTGCGGGAGCTGCTGTGGGTGCTGGAGCTGCTGGTGCTGGTGACACTACACAGACGCGCCTGTTCTTCGTATCAGAATTACTAGGCAAGAATGAATGAACTAACAGGAGTTTGGGTACAAATATGAAACCCTAGTTGGGGTTGTACCCCATATTGGCTACCCCACTACAGCCTACAAGCATAATACAGTTTAACACACCCCCATAGGCAAAGTGGGGGAGAACAAAGGGTCACAAGACCAGTCCAGCAAAGCAAAACAAAGCCCAGGGTGGATCACAACGTCACCACACTCCGAGCACAAGTAAAGGCCACAAGGCCAGTTCACATGCAGTGCTAGATATAGTACAAGACAAGCAACACAGTGATCAAAACCTAGCAAGCAAGCAACAAGATATATATAAAGTACAGTACAAAGAATGTCAAGCAGTGAGCAAGTGAGGAAACGTGGACACAAGGCCTAAAGAAGAACAGTGCCGCTGATGATCACTAGGCGGGAGCGCCTTGGTGAAGATATCAGCAGTGTTGGCCTTCGAGTCCACGTACACAAGCCGAAGCTGACCGCGCTGCTGAAGCTCTCGAGCAAGAAAGTAGCGAAGAGCAATGTGCTTCGTCCTGTGCTCCAGTCTGTGCTCCTGACACAAGGCAAGAGCCGCCTTGTTGTCACCGTACAGAACTGGAGGAGAACTAGGCCGCTCTCCCAAGTCAGTCAGCAGGTAGGTGAGCCAGCGTAACTCCTGTGCAGCCATGGCTGTGGCGTAGATCTCAGCCTCACAACTAGAGCTGAGAACAGAGGAAGAGCGAGTGGACCGCCACGAGACAGAACCTGAGCCAAGGCTGAAGGTGTAACCCTGTGACGACCGCTGCGTAGCCAGGTCGTCCACCCAAGAGGCGTCCGAGTGACCAGTGAGGACAACTCTGTCGCGTCCTCCAAGCACCAGCCCCATGCCTGATGTACTGCACAGGTAACGCAGCACCCTCTTAGCAGCCTCCCAGTGCTCTCGCCTGTGTCTCCCAGGCGCAACGTAACGAGCAAGGATGCTAAGAGGGTACGCGAGGTCAGGTCGCGTGCAAGTCATCAGGTACATGAGGTAGCCCACAAGCTCTGGGTACGGGCCACTCGGCTCTACGGACTCGTCCGAAGGTGGAGCTGAGAGCGAGTGGCTGGTAGCCAGAGGTGTGGCCTGTGGTGAGGAGAACTGGAAGCCGAAGCGCTGAAGGACCTGCTGCACCATGTGTGACTGAGTCAGGGTGATGGTGCGGCGAGCTCTGTCCCGGGTGATCTGCAAGCCAAGGTAGCTACGCAGTTCACCCAGGTCAGTGCAGGTGTGTCTCTTCTGCAGCTCCGACTTCACACGAGCGAGTGCCTCAGTGTCAGCAGTAGCAAAGACCAAGTCGTCGACGTACACGAGAATGTAGAACGGCGGCAGCGACGTGTCTGTGCGCAGAAACAGCGACGGGTCAGCAGTAGACGGCGCGAACCCAAGAGCCGCAAGAGTAGTCCTCAGTGTGTCGTGCCACTCACGTGGCGCCTGGCGGAGACCGTAGACTGGCCGGCGGAGACTCCACTGGGTACCAGGGGGAAACGACCCAGTAAAGCCAGGTGGGCGGCGCAGCCAGATCTCCTCGTGCAGGCTGCCCTGCAGGAACGCTGTGCTGAAGTCAAGAGAGTGAAGCTCGTAGTCACGCTGAGCAGCAACGTGCAGCAGAACCCGAAGAGTGGTCATCTTCGGGGTGGGGGAGAAGGTCTGGAAGAAGTCGACCCCCTGACGCTGACTGAAGCCTCTAGCAACGTAACGAGCCTTGAAGACAGGCGGAGAACCTGGCGGCCGCTTCACCCTGAAAATCCACATGCCATCGACGATGTTCGCCCCAGGAGGGGGAACCTCGTCGACGTAGGTGCCTGTGGACTTCCAGGATGCCATCTCTGCGTCCATGGCTGTCTGCCACTGAGAGGAGTAGGGACCCGAGATCGCCTCTGCGTAAGTGCGCGGAGTGGGGATGTCTAGTGCATCCGGGTCTCCCTCAGGGGCAAGCAACCAGGCCACGAGATGAGGTACAGCAGCCGCAAGAGAGTCAAAGTCCTCCTGCCTGTCCTCAAGGACGTCCGTGCCAAGAGCACACTCACCCCCGACGGACGGAGGACAGACAGACGCAGACTCTGACTCAGCAACAAGGCTAGCAGCGTAGTCTAGACGACAGGCAGCAGCAAAGTCAACCAACTCAGCGACCAGAGCAGACGCAGCCGAGGACTCAAAGGTAGGGTCGGTGACAACAGTAGCGA